TATTAATTATTACGGTGGGTGAAATATCACATGTAGCATGTTGAAATAAATAAGAAGTAATACATTTGGTCCATTTTAACATGTAGCAAGTATTGTTTTATTTTAACATTGGCTTGAAATTTGCAATTTACTAGACAAGGGCATGCCAATTTTGAGACTATTTGTAGAAAGACATGACAAATACAGAAAGAAGTTTAAAGGAATTGAGGTCCAAAGCATGGAATGTGTCATGTTATTATTGGGATAATTCTACTAAATTGGGTGAAATTAAATTCTTTGAAATAATTCATTATTTGGTCTCTTAGGCCTCGTTTGTTTTTCTACAAAAATACTTTTTGAGCACTTTTCCCTTCTGACGGGTAGACGTTTCGCAAGTGCACGTCTTCTTCCGCAAACTTGGAAAAAGACAAAAGACATTTAACCACTTCCAAAACAAACAACACCTTAGTCTTTAAGACCTATTGTACGATCTTCTTTCTATTAGTTAGAATTCTGCATACGGTTCCATTGCAATGCTGGAATTGTGTGATCGATTCTATGACAATGCTTACACAGAGATATCCTTATGCATCATAAGTCCCCCAGTAAGTTCAATTATATATTTCATTTACTCGAAGATAAATGGGTAGTAATGAATTCGTCTATTATCATTTTTGATAATGTAGATTATTCTCACTGTAAGCCACTTTGGGAACATGTCAACAAGCTACACAACACGCATGTGTGAATTTCATTGGCTGGGATATAGCTTACCAATATCTAATGGCAAAAACATATTTCCATATTGAAATGTTAGTTATCACTTATTACTCTGTATTCCTTCAAGGTATGTCTAATTTTTCATTTATATTTAATCACTCGACCAACATACGTTTTTACCTCAAAAATTACATAAAGAACTTCATGATTGACTGGGAAGATCTCTAAAGAATTGCCTTTTGGCAAGATTTTCATGTTTATCATGAAGCTCGAAGGGAAGAATGCCATATATAGTAAATAAATTAACAGAATTAAGTTGCTATTCTAAACTATCAACACGTAAACAAATATATAAAAAAACATCAATTGCGAAGCACGAGCATGTTTACTAGTTACAATTATTGTTTAACTTACACCAAAAATCACGCTTAAAGTGACCCGCTTTTGACATCACTATCATACCAAACGTTTTGATCTTTTTGTTGGTTTTGTCATAACTGTCATATTTACGTATGTCTCTTGCCCTTTCCTTATTTTTTAGAATTATTTTTCTTATTCTTAACCATGTGAACAAAAGGTTGTCCTTATTCAACTTTGCTACTTTTTTTTTTTCATTTGCACATGAAGATATTTTTAAATGCATAAAAGACAATGATATCTATTCCCTTTAACGTTTCATGGTATGTTTGAAAAATTTCTAGGATTATGGAAGTTTGTCAATTACACTTGACATAATAATAAATTCATTTATTTTCATATTTGTATCGTGAATTGGCCAATGCGACGAAGTTCATTGCGTTCTTCCATGTAGAGCTGACAAAAACTAACATGATACGCTAACCTAGTAACCTACAAGAAATAAACACAATACTTCACACAAATTAAATGGGCCAGGTTCAGGTCAAACTCTTTTAAGCCGACACAAAAATACAAATTCACAATGTCTAAACCATAAACCCACCAACTGACACAAATTCAACGCGAAATAAATGAGTTTGGGTAAAACATTTTAGCTGTTTAAGTAAATAAGTTGATATGACACGACATGACAAATAAACTATTAATGTTAGGTTCGAATTTTTTCAACCCATTTTCGCATGACATAAATCCAAAATGACACGACAAATTTTCCATGACAAGCTTTGAATTGCTAGATTCATCGGCTAATATTCAAGTTTTGTTTATTTGGTGTCTCATGTTTTAATCTTAGATAAATTTATGCCCACATTGGATGGATTTATGCTATAACTTCAGTTTGATCAAAACATATATGATTCATAGTTTAATGGAATAGTTGAATGTGATGAAATATCTAGTTGGATTAAACTCAACAAAGTCGTGAAGATTTTGATGTGGGGTTGGTGGCTCTACCGTAGACAACACTGTCCCCTCCTATGGAGGTACCGACATATAGGAGAGTTACCACCAATTGAAGTACCATGTGGCATATATAACCCGTGAACACTTACTCTCATTTCTCTCTTTACCATCTTTAGTTGTATCGCATGCATAAAGACTTGTACCAAAATAATTTTGTATGTTTTTAATATTTTGTGAATTAGTTTTGTTGATTTTAACTAGTTTGTATTAACTTAAAAGTAAAAATTCGAATGGGTTAGGAGAGATGAAAAATATAATTTTTCATATGTTGCAGATAGGAAAGGTGAAACTAAAAGATGAGAAAAAAGTTGATATAGCACGGATGTTATGAATAGGTTGAGAGGGATGAAGTCCTTATTCACTCCTTCCGTTCTTGTTAGACGTCGTATTGAAAGATTCAACAAATATGGAGTTTATGGTCAACCATAAGGTACAACATTATATATGTAGTTATGCTAAGAACAAGTCAGTAAAACATAATATTTTATATTTTTTATTTAGATAAATTGATTTTTTTAGGCTGCCCGGAGTGGGAGGCTGGAAGACTCGTGGAGGCCGACGTGTCAGCCTCCAAGACGCGTGAACACCGCCCCCAACTCCGGTGGGTTGGGCTTGGCGTCTTCACGGAGACGAGAGAGGACGGGCGATTTGATTGGCTACTCGACTTTTTGACCGTTGAATGCATTTGACCGTTTGTAAAAAAAAATTTAATTAATTAATTAATTACCATACCTTCTCTATATATATCAACCTTTATTTTCCCATTTCAAACACACACACCACAAGTTTTGAACACAAACATATACACTACCAAAAAATTATTCTTTCCTCCATGGTTCCAAACCAAAAATATCGCACCAACCCTGAACACCCTAAACACTCCAAATGATCCGTTAGCAAATATTGACTACATGCAATTGTTATCATCTCCCGTTGCACAACAACCTCTATTCACCAATCTTTCATACCACCACACTACTACCAACAACAACAACCACCACAATTCGTTCAACCCCAATTTCAAGCCTTTCAACAACAATATTCTCCGCAATTTCAGCCCCAAACTTCCCAATGCCAACAAACTTCACAACCATCTCAAGTTCCATTATCTCAATCTCAACCCGTAAACCTCGACTTTGAAGACGACGACGAACGGGTTCAAGAAACACAACCAAGTCGTAGAAGGCAAACGAGCCGGACAAACGACTCGGTGAATGCTAAATGGCATGACCTTAGAGCGGCTTGCACCAAATTTAACGGCGTATTTGACAATTTAAAAAATATGTATCGAAGTGGTAGTAACGATTTCAACATTTTATCAACCGCGTTGCACCAATACAAAATTACCAACAATGGTAAACCTTTTGGCAACAAAAAGCGTGGAAAGTTTGTCGCAATGGTCCAAAATGGGTCCTTTCAGTGGCGAATCTAGAACAAAATATCACGTGGTTCCTAAATTAAGTGGAGCCGATAAAAAAAAATCAGCAACACTTGTGAGGGGTCGGGCCGGGTCAGATCGTGTACAATTTAATGAAATATAACTGAAAAAACCGATCAGGCACCACCAATTAAAATTTTAAAAAACCGACTAAAATATAATTGAAAAAACCAAACGATTTAATGAAAAACTAGTTGATTATTAATGCATTAATACCTTATTGTTTGATAAAAAACTATATATTATATTTAACCCTATATATTTAACAACACAAATGCTCCATGTAACTTATTTTTTTTCTCCTTTTAAAATGGTTTTTTAAGAAATTTTTTAAAAAACAAACTCAAGGTAGGTCCTTTATTTTTTCTAAGGTGGTTCCTAATTTTTGTGGTATATATATTATAAATAAAATTCAAATCTTAGGTAGGTCCAAGGACCTACCTTCATGCTTGTTAAATACGCCCTTGGGTCCTTTATCCGGAAACGGCGCATTCGGGATTTACTACCGGTTCCAACAAAAGGCCGAGAACGTCCGAGTCGGACGTTGGTGTTAACCTCGACCTCAATGATGAGTTCGACGCCACCGAGGAGGAGGGTCCACCGGACGTCCATCTTCGTCGACCACCAGGAAGGGACAAAGCGAGAAAGGGGGCTTTGTCTAGGGGAAAATCAACCAACGAAGACGTACTAGCGGAGAAAATCGACAAAACTCTACATTTTTTAGAAAAAAAAATTTTGATTCAACAGAGGAACAACGTTGGTGACAATTGGCACTCACCAATCTTCAAATTGTAAACACGGTGCCGCAACCAAATCTCGACCCAGAAAATTTAAGGGTGTTTTTGAAAATTCAACAAGAAGTTCTCGACCAATATCGCAACTAGATTTTATTCTATGTTTTTTAGTAATTTAGGTTTAATTTTCTACGTTATTTTTATGTTTTTTTTAGTATTTTAGTTTTCATTTTCTATGTGTTTTTATGTTTTTTTTAGTAATTTAGGTTTAATTTTCTATGTTTTAAATTATGTAATGTGGTTTTAATTAATGTAAAATATTTTATTATTTTTTTAACTTATGTTTTTATCTAATTTAATTATAAAAAAAAGATAATTGTGGAGTGGTGACCATTTCCTAAGTCTAGTGTTTTGGTGGTGAAGGTGACTTGGCGCAGAGGAGAGGTGACACCACTTTTCCGGTGAGTTGGTGGTGACTACTCCCCACAGCCTTAGTGGCGAAATCACATTCACCTTCCTTTTAAAATGATTTTTTTTACAAAAAGAATTTATATATTAGTATGCCCTAATAAACTTTGGTGCATTAGTTAATGCAATTACAGCTAGATCTCTATGCAAACAGCTATGCACCCCAAGCGTCCATAAATGGTTCACATAGTTTTAATGTCACCTTATTTGGTAGACTAGATATCCAATTATATATACCATTATGCCGCTGCAATTTGACTAATTTTGATTATCACTTTTACCATCAAACATTCAAACTGTCACACAATCGTCTGATAAACAATTATTAGATACAATCTGCATGTGTTGTGTTACCATATGCAGCAAAGATATATATGTAAATACAAACATACATTCTGCAAGACCGCATACATAAACATAGTTAACCCGTAGCTACTCGACCTAAAACAGAAATGCATAGCAACACTAGACATATATAAGTTATGAAGTGAAAGGTGTTGCTACAGCCAAAAGCGGAGTATTCTTACGAATAGTAAGGCCTGGTCGTTCAGTCATATCTAGATCCTCTTCCTTCCCATTCGGTAACTCCCAGTCAAACTTGAGCAAAAGATTGGCCAACACATTCTCATTTGTAGCCATTGCAAATGCAATCCCAGGACACCCCCTCCTTCCAGCCCCAAATGGGATCAAATCAAAGTCAAGACCTTTGTAATCAATTGAACAATCCAAAAATCTCTCAGGTTTAAACTCATCGGGTTCATCCCACACTTTAGTGTCTCTTGCAATGGCCCATGCATTAATGATTACCCTAGTTCCTTTCATGACATCGTAGCCCATGACTTTCACATCTTGGCTGGCAACACGAGGAATTAAGGTTGGGATTGGAGGATGAAGCCGAAGAGTTTCTTTAAACACAGCTTTTAAGTACTTCATGTTGTCGATATCATCATCGTTTATCTTTGACTTGCCTTTAAGAACCATCCTTACTTCATCCTGAAGTTTCTTGAGAATCTTTGGATGTTTTAGAAGTTCTGTAAATGTCCATTCTAATACTGTTGCTGTTGTATCTGTTCCAGCGGTATATGCATCCTAGATAAGATATATCAAAGCTTAATTTGTTACCATGAATTAATATGTAACTTAGTCATTCTGTATATTTAATTAATGCTTATATATTTTATTATTTTTGAATGAATATGAATACTAACCGATTTAAGTATTGGCCGGTACTGGATATATTTAAATATACATACTAGTCCATAAACCGTGAATCGTGCTACATGGAGGCATCTTGATAAAGACGAAATCCATGAGATGCACGAACTATAAAATATACAACAACTATACGTCTATATCCATTTTAAATAAATTATTTAAGATTTTTTCAAATCTTCTTGCAGTAAGTCAAAGGACCAGCTTTGTATGATGAATCTTTTGTTTTACCACGTGGATTTGTTCTTTGAATTGAATTGAAAAAGTAACGATTTTGACGAACGGTTATTTTAACCATTTAATTAATCATTGATACCTTATAGACAAAATTTCTGGATCTACTACTAATTCTAATGAAGGCACGTATGTTTTCAGATGAATGTTTTACTTTTAGATTGCTTATTGAACGAAGGGCGATCCAAGTCAACTGGATATACTTAATCTGTCTTTTTTTTTAAAGAACAAATATCATCGATCAAAATATTAAAGTCAAGATAGTGGAAAGAGAGTTACCAATAGGAGTGCTTTAATTGCAAGTCTGTCGATAGTAACGCCTATGTTATCATCCTTCTGAATCTTAAGTAGTATATCAACGAAGTCTTCACCACCACCACCACCAGCTGCCGACCCTTTCTTCAGCCCTTCCTCCACCACACCGTCCAAGAACTCATCCACCTCTCTCGCCATCCTCTCGACTTTAGCATTCAGTCCTCTCAATCGATCCACCCATGCAAGCTGAGGAATAAAATCCTCCAAATTAAGACCTCCCAATATCTCGAAAAACTGCCTCAGCATATTCTTAAACTTCCTCCCGCTCTCTCCCTCGCTATACTTCCTTCCAAACGTCAACCTACAGACCACATCATTCGTAAGCATCACAAACATATCACTCAAATCCACCACCTGGTCACCAGATTTCTTGATTTTATTAACAACAAAGGCGATCTCTTCATCCCTCACTTCACTACTAGATTCCACCCTTTTGTTGCTCAAGAAATGGAGAACCATTATGCTCTTGACTTGCCTCCAGTACTCGCCATAAGGTGCTACCGAGACCTCTTTCAGGTCGTAGAGCAGTTTCCGCCACATTTTCACTTCGGGTCTGTTGGCAAATATGAGATCTTGGGTTTTCATTATCTCGGAGGCTGCTTTGGCTGATGATACCACCAGGGTTGGGATGCAGCCCATGTGGATGAGCATGAGTGGACCACCGTGGAGTTGGGATAACGAATGGAGGGAGCGATGGAGGAGTGGGCTGATCTGATGGAGGTTACCGATCACCGGTAGTTTTGGTGGTGAAGGTGGTAGGTTTCTCTTGGTTGAAGGTCGAGTAAAGTAGTAGAGTTTGATGAGAAAGAACACTAGCATTATCAAAGTGGAAGCGTACACCAAAGGAGCCATTGTTTCGTTTTTGGTGAAACTCAACATTTTGAGAAAATGAAGTGGTGTGGCTGCCTTCGTCTCTTCTATATGTGAGTTTATTTATATTTGAACTTATATTTTTATATTAATAATGATACATACTAACAAATTTTATTTATTTATAACTATGTCAAAAGAAGGTTAAAGATGAAGTATTAAATAAATTAAAACCAACGACAATTCATGGGTTGGGATAGGAAAAACCCAAAAAAAAAAAAAAAAAAAAATTTAAATTTTTTTCTAAAATATATTTTAAACTTCAGTATAAATTTAATATTAAAGATATTCAATATTATTCTATGTTGAATCGTATCAACTAAATCTTTTTAATGATGTACCTTTTTTTTCTCTATATTTTTTGATATATTAAACAAATAAAAGAAAACGGCTAGGATATAAAATAAATAATTGAACTTTAGAGTGTATAATATGTAACATGAAAGTAAAAGAAAAAATTGCAAACATGGTCCTTATCGTTTGTTATTTTATGTGGTTGGATCCATATTGTTTCAAAATTATAAATTCTTTCTTTTTTTAATTGATTATGGATTTGGTCCTTCAAAACTAAAAAAATACTCCCTTTTTTATATATATATATATATATATATATATATATATATATATATATATATATATATATATATATATATATATATATATAATATTTTATTATTATTAAATATAAAAAAGAGACCACACACAAACCCCACCCTACCCCACCCCACCCCTTCTCTCTGTCACTGTCTCAACTCTCAACCCTTCTTCTTCCTAAGAACCATAATCCAATTTTCTCGATGCTTGAAGAAGATCCACACATAGACGCACAATCGGACACACAAATCTTTCCTTCTTCCCTTACCATCGGCGTAACTCCTCCCCTTACAGTCGGCGTTTGGATCCGATTTGTAGATTTGTTCTCAAAGACATGTGGGTTCGATTCCTACACCAATACACCGATACAACCACCATTATGACGATGATGTGCCACTAACGTTTGCACCTCCGCATTCCTCTACTGCATATTCTCTATTTTGTTCTCTCACCACTCACCAGGCACCGAAAAGATAAAGATGCGAAGGATTTGTGGATTTGGTTTTGTATTTTCTGAAAAAGATTTAAGCCTGGTTTCAATCATTCATGGGCTTTAGAGATTTAGGTAATATGAGTTATGAACAATGTAATGTTTTGCAAGTTATCCATTGTTACAGGGAAGATATGGCTTAGTGATATTTTTGGGTTAGTTCAAAAAATCCGTTTTGTTCTATTTTTGCCTTTGATTTAGTGATAAGAATTTGTTCTTGGCTTTGACAATGGAAACGAGAAACATATTTTTATGTCTGATTTCTATGTTTAATTTCATCTCTGAGTCCTTTGCTTTCGTCTGTGTTTGAATTCATCCACGAAAATATATTTTTAGGTTTGCTTTGTTGCTATAATTACAACGGAAAATGGTGATGATTTTTGGTGGTGATGTTTATTACATGTGGGTGGGAAAATATGACTGAAGAAGATGAAGTAGGGGTAAGGGTAGGGTGACCGGGATGGGGATAATTCCTTTATCAAAATTTAAAAATTGTTTAAAAATGAAAACAAAATATGAATGATAAATTAAAAGGGAAAAATAGTTTTAAATTTGATAGGGATCAAATGTGTAATCAAGATAGACTAAAAGGACCAAATCTCCAACCAATGTAGACAAAAGGTTCAAATCCATTATTACCACATAAAATGATAAACCGTATGAATTGATTTTGCAATGATATCTATGAAAGCTTGCATCCAATTTGTGTATGTGTGTTGTGGCCACCTACATGACACTTTTTGTCATGATAAGTTTTTAGGACCGATTCCAACCACACATATATAAGGCGTGTAAAAAAACAATAGTTAGAAGGTGATAGATTGATAATCTGATATAAAACGTGTAAAAAAAAAAGCAATAGTTAGAATGTGATAGACTGATATGATAGCTGATAGGTGTTTAACAATAGAGAATCTTTCAAGACGGCTATAGACATTTTTTGGGGTGGATTTTAAACTTTAGTCACAAAAATCCGAAATTCCGGCTATAGACATGCATTCTGCGGAGCACCACTCTACGGGCTCTGCGGAATGACGAAATCTCCGCGGATCAATGAATTGTATACGATATCAGACTCACCAAAGAATCTCCGCAGAGCTACCTCCGCGGAGACATTAAACCCTCCGCGGAGTGATGGTTTTAACGTTCATTAAATCCTCCACAGAGGTTGTGACAAGGGCTCTGCGGAGGCGTTAACCTCTCCACGGAATGGGTGGTTAGATGGGTATTAGCGACGGTTTTTTGTTATATAAAAGATTTTTTTTTGATCTATTTTAAAATATCCATCAGTTGTAGGTGAATTTTTATTCAAAGAAAATGTGAGTTTTGTTATTTTATGTACGGGGGTTTTTGGCAGTTGAGTAATGGAATTAACACCTACGTTAGACCAAAGTTTAACAACTTAGGTTTACTACTTCCGTCTAATTTTGACCGTCGGATATTGTTTGATTTGGTTTAAACTAAGGCTAATACGTTCAATAGTAATATATCATTGTCATTTCAATACCTGGTTCATGGGTATGTTATGAATATTGTAGACGAAACAAATGTTCATCAACTCAGAAATGTAATGTCTGAAACGAAGGAGATTGTGCATTTGTATTTGGAGGTGTTCAATAGTAATATATCATTTGTATTTGTATTTGTATTTGGTGGGATGTCAAATCCACCAAGCAAATTACACCATTTGTTTGCAAATAAAACGTAACATAATGGTAAAAAAGGGTATCGATCCTTGTGTAAATGGTTGTATTCAATCACCAATGCAACCAAATAGAACTAGTGTAATAAAACTAACTAACTACAATTAAACTAAAAAGAGGGGTTTTGTAATTGCTTTAAAACTAAAAGACTTGAATAACTAAAAAGCTTGCAATTAAGCAAGATGGTGAGGTTCTCAAATATTGGAGAGAATTGGTCAACCAAGGCAATTCAACACAATGATTTAATGATTTATGTGTTTATCATTAGGATTTAATATGAAGCTTATCATTCATCCCAAATTAGTATTAGTAATCATGAAGCATGATATGCCAAGATTCCTCATAGGTAGTATGGAGGTTGGGGAAGCCCATAACACACCTTCTTAATCAAAATCAAGGATTCAATTGAAGCAATTGAACCCAAGGAAGTTGATTAGCCTTAAGAATGAAGGAATCCCCAATTCCTAGAGGACGTCAATGCTTACACATCATAAAGGAGTCATGATTAATAAGCTACAAATAATTTCTACCATCATAAAGCCCTTGTTCTAAATAAATTCAATGATTAAATGCTAAACCAAAGAAATAAACCAACAATTGCTCATTCAAGTACCAAGCTCATGATCAAAGTATTAAACACGCATAAGAAATATTAACTAGAATCATAAACATAAGATAAATGACAACTAAGCATGAATCCTTCAAACCCCACAAATATCCAAGGGTTTTAGCCAAAGTTAACCAAAATAGAGAAACTAGTCACTCATGACAACAAAATAACAATCACAAAAGTGTTTTTGCATCAAGAAACTAACAATTACTTTGAAAGATGAGAAAAATGTGTATCAAGCTCCCAAAAATCGCCTCCAATGGTCTCTAATGGTGGAAAATCGAAGTATGAGCTGCTAGACCTAACCCCCAAGTAAATGGTGAGCAAAATGACCAAAATGCCCAAAAGTGTGCAGTTGCGCGGGTACCCTCGCAAGTGTTGCGCGAATGAGACTCCACCCTCGCAAACGATGTTGGAATGCTATTGGCTCTTTTTTCTCCACTACACCACTCCACTACTCAATATTCTCTTGGACCCCTCCACACTTTACATGATTCAAATTTGGCCAATCATCTTCAAGCTTCAAATGTGGATAGTCCAAGCCCAAAATAAGAATCCAAGACCCATCTTCATAAGCTCACTTCATCCAAGTCTTCAACTTTTTAAGCCCAATTCTTCTTTGATGGATCCAGAAAGCCCAATAATGCCTCGAAAGCCCACAAAGCCCGTCTCCAAGCTAATCCATAACCGCAACGAGCTCCAAAACCCTACAAAATACCTCATGCAAAATAGAAAGTACCCGACACAATCCATGATAAAGAAAATAAAAAATATACAATGCATTACTAATAAAAAGAGCGAAAAATACAAAAATAAACTATAAAAAGGAAGGAAATAAAATAAACTATCATCGGTTGACAAGATTGTATCATACAATGTTGAGAACATTGTATCTGATAATGTTTAAGAGTGTACACAAGAAGAAACTGTGGAAATGAATACAGTGGAAGAAGAAAATTTATATGAGTGTGGAAGACTGGGTGACAAAACTTTGTCAGACGATGAAGAATCAAATGAAGGCTGGTCAGAAGATGAGTTCACACAAAAAAAAAAGCTTCAGACATCTTTTACGATATGCCTCCCATACCTGATTTTCCTGATCCCATTCTTGAACATGGACCATTTCACAGTTTAGGTCCAAATGATGATATGTTTGTTCGTCAAAAGTATGATAACAAACAACAACGAATATTTGCTTTGAGTCTTAAAGCAACCAGAGAAAAGTTTTAGTTTAAGACCAAACGTTCTAACAAAAACCGTTACGAGGTATATTGTGAAATTGAGAACTGTAGTTGGTGTTTATATGTAAAACGCCTTGATCCGACTGATGAATTTGAAATCAGGACTTTCAACAACGTGCACACATGTTCGTCATTACTAATACACCCAAATCATAAGTACGTAAATAAAAAAGTCATGGGTACTATATTGCATGAGATTATGGGAAAAACTCGTTCGAAGGTTTGGAGGCCTAATGAAATATCAAGGGATTTGAATGCTTTGCTAGAAATCAATGTAAGTTACAAACAAGTTTGGCGTGCAAAACAATATGCTATGGAACTGTTGTTGGGATCCTCTGAAGAATGTTTTTTCCAAACTTGCTATTTATTTTCACAATTTGAAGAAGCATAATCCCAATACAGTGG